TGGACACCATGGAAGAAAGAATCAGTGAAGATGAAGATGAAGACTCTGAGGTTAAATGAACAGGGCATACGGGCTCTGTGGGACAACAGGAAGAGAAATAATATATGCATAATGGGAATTCCAGAAAGTGAAATGTGAGGCATTAACCAGAATTCCTCTGAGTAGGGATGATGGGCAGACTTGATTTCATGTTTTGGACATGTTATCAGGAGGGACCAGTCAGTCTCTAAGAAAGATCGTGGTTGGTAAAGTGAAAAAGAAAGACCATCAAGGAGATGGATTAACTAGGTGGTTGCAACAAGGGACTCACATACAGCAGCAGTTCTGAGGATGGCACATGACCCAGGGGCATTTTCTTCAGTTGCCTATAGGGTTTCTGTGAATTGGAATCAGCCCGGTGGCACCTCTTATCAAGGTAGGAAGGACATTCATGTTTCCCATTAGATAGAATAGCAGAACATTGTGCCACCTGTTCTGTTCCCACCTGATAACATTTCCATTATAGTGAAACCCACAGCTGTTTAGTGTAACATTTGAGGAGTTTTGACACGAGCATGTAGCTGTGTGATCAAATCTCTATCCCGATACTGTATACGATCACCTCCCAGAGGGTCGCTCAGGCGAACCTCGTTAGTTCCACCGTTCACTGCCTTCCCGATGAGAGACTAATATTGCTCTAACTTCTTCATGGTCATAGTTTTTCCCATTCTTGAACCTCACCAAATTAGAGTCATACAGTTTGTGCTCTGAGGTCATGCTTTTTTCACTCAGCAAAATGTTTTTTAGGTTCCCTAAGGTGTTTTACAGATCAGCAATTACTTCTCAATGTTGATTAGTATTCTGTTGTATGACCGTACCCCTGCCACGTTATCCACTCTTCTATTGATAGATCTCTGGGATGTTCCAGTTTGGGGTATTATGAATAAATCGGCAATGAGAATTCTTTTTGAAAAGGGATGATTTTCCTAATTTTATTTTGTTGAGAGTATACAGTTTCTACATTTGCAATTTAGTGATACTGATTACATTCTTGCACTGTACAATGATTTGTCCCTTCTCTCATTAACAAACTCATTACACCATAATGTTTTTAATTTTTCAAGTATGTATTGTAAATTTGATCCCACATAGACTGGTGGTAAAAATAGCATAATGCTCAAGCAGGCAGGCTAATTTTAAGATGACTTCAGAGTATATTTTTGAGGGAAGAAGAAAGATTTTATTGTCATTCCAGGTAACTATGTAGCGTATACCTCTTTGATATAACACCCAAAGGTGACAAACGATAGTTTCCCCAATACTTTTAAAATTTTATTACATTAAAACTAATTGGACTTTTTAATTTATATTGTGTTTTTAGTACTAACACTTGGAAGATGTTGGTTAACCAAGTAATGCATTATGCATTACTTTTAAATGTTGGCATATGACATTATTTCAAAAGTTCATGTGTTAAGGTCGCCATCTATCTCAACTGAAGAGAAGTTGGTGGCAGAAAAGTGTTCTCCATAATCCTAATTTCCGCATAATAACTTACATGTTGTCATGGGAATGAGCACGGCCAGTTGTTTACTTGAGGTAACAGGCAGACTGAGAACATGTCTGCCAAATGACTATGCTTATTAATCATCTCCCGTCTGCTACTTGCTCTCTCAACAAGAATGGTCTGTGATGAAGTGGGTGGGCCAGCTCCCAGCTCATGTCCGCAAGCGCTTTCTGCAACGAACCCACCCTACTTGGGTCTGCGGCGAAGCGCATTAAATATTCCTCCCAATTTGTCACATGGGCTACTAAAATGATGTGGGCTCTAGAATCAAGACTCAATAAAATGAATGATTTTTACCTCTTTGACTATGTTCTTAGGATTCTAAGTATTCCTTTTGATTTTGCTGATAGCACAATGAGTTTGTAGTTTCAACAATGTTTAATGTCCATACATTTATTTAGCATCCTCTCCTCTTTTTGTTATTGACTAGTAGCTTCACACTTTTTATGGTCAGATCAGATGCTTTCAGGTTTCAATCTTTTTAAACTTACTGAAATATACTTTGTGTCTGAAAATTCTCTACATCAAACGTATTTCCAGTGAAGTAGCATGTGTACAGTGCTACTGTTGAGTGGTGTGATCTATGTCTGTTGAATCCAAATGGTTAATATTATACAGGTCTTCTGTTTCTTTATTCCCTTTTGAAAGTGGTTCCATCCATCATCAAAAGATGATGCATATAATGCCCTCTGTCTCACAATAAATTTTCACTTAAAACTGATTCTCATATATTAACATTGCCACTCCTATTCACATTGTATTAGTGCTTACTTGTTATCTCAAGTATTTCCATCCCCACTTTAATTTACTGATACACCTGTGCTTATGTTGTGCCCCTTGTCATATACCCGTGTCGTATTTGTAGTTCACTGTTTCTTGGCTAGAAGATTTATCTATTTATATTCATTGCAATGAATTATCAATAGAGAAGAATTTACTTCAAACATTTTGTTAAAAATTTTCCCCATCCCCTCTCTTG